AATTCAAACTAAATGTACTTTTGGGAAGATTGCTTTACAACCACTAAAGGCCACAGTTTTCTCCAAGAACAAAGCATTTAACCAGGAGATGGATTGTTTTTCCAACAGAGGGTTTTTCTGGCCAAAAGCTTCAGTTCTTACATGGCCCTGACCTGATCTAACAAAACAAACTCTTTGCTCTAAACCAGTCACTGTCTTCAGGTACTTACTAAACCTAGAGGCAAAGGCTAATAAGAAGATAGTTAATCTGGTGCTATGGCCTACTGTACAGTGTTTGTTTATTCATAGAATTTCTATTTTAGTAAACCATGTACATGTTTCTGCAATCAGATTTTTGCAAAACTCAGTATGTCATCTATTACATCCTCTGTGGTTTAGACTCTCAGCATTCTTTAGTGTACGAGTCACGTTTGTGACTATATGCTGCCCAGTATTCAGTACAGTCCAATATTCACTTTCCTTTTAGCTCTGTTTTTGGTCTCCACCAGCTCTTGAGAAAAATATCTGCCTTTATAGCTGCTAAGTGCTTCACCATGTTCACCAGTTATTCACTAACTGTGTCTGTTATTTGGTGCTGAGTTGGTAGTGTATAAAAACAGCTGTCAGCCACACCTAGGAACGAAGCTGATGAGAGAAATGAACAAGAAGCCTTTTGTTTGTTTGTTTGCTTTTCGGGCTCCACCATCTGTTATAATTCCAACTAAGCCAGTAGTCTCTTGCAACATGAACATAAATGTAAGGCAGACAGGAGTTGTATACTGTCTCCCCATTACTTGTTAGTTATTTTCCCGTTAACAGAATGCCTTCACTCACATACATCTCCAAATGTAAGCACACTCAGCAATGTATTAACAGTGATATAACGGAGGCACTCACCTACAGTAATGGATTAGGTCTTTAAACTCGGACTCCTTTCGTTTTCACACACCTCGCCTCATCAGTGGTAAGTGTTCAGCTTTAACCTTCCCCAGTAGGCCCTGGCAATGCTGCTGCTTTCATCAGTTTTTCACAGTTTTGAAATGTGAGCAGCTTTTACTCACAAACTTTATGTACTGTTTGAAGTTATTATAGTTTAACATTGTACGCAGATGATTATGTGAGAAATTGAATAATGTCACCATTAAAGGTCAGAGCTATCAGACTGACTGACATCAGATCGATGACAGTGTGCCAGCTCAACAGCACATTTTAAAACCTCAATAATTAAATACAAAGGCATTAGATACAACAGCCCTGGAAATGGCTGGAGAACAGCCCACAGGAAAAGTGTAACAGCCATTCTGTCTCTAAAGCTTTTAACCCCCAGCTCTGCTGGCCAGTGAATGTTACTAAAATGTTTATGATAGGGTTTAGATTGAAAGTTCATATCCTTTATAGAGTTGTTTCCAATAGACAATGAGGCATGTGAATAATCAGTTATTTTAAATATTCTGTAAAGGAGCCATTAGGACCATTAAATTAAGTTGTTTATGCCAAAATCCATAGTATTTTCCCTCATTTCCTCACCTGCATTATTATATATAATAGTACTTAAGGTAACACACTTTAAACCCCTTGTACCCTGAAACATAAACTCAGCATTAACCCATTTATTACAGCTTAGTTGGTATTCTGCCAGTATTAGGTTACTGCAGACATATCAGTTGATTCTGGTTATATAATGTATACTGGCCCAGATGTTACAAGAGATGATAGTACAGAATGACAGACATGTTGAAGGTAATTTCAGATAACCAGACTCAGTTGCAATTTTCTCTCCATTCATTTGAATCATTGAAAAATGAGAGACACGAGTGATTTAATCAGAACAGGCTACGTATTCCCTAATCAGTTCCCAATTAGAAAAGAAAGTTAAATATCAGTGCCTCTCTTAGAGCTTTATTGGAATCCAAAGGGCTTCTAGCCTTGTCAGTCACAGTACTTGAAAATGACTGCAGAAAGTGAGTTGTTGGAGTCATAAAAAAAAAATTAAGATTAAGTTACACTTGTTTGTGCATGTTTGCTATACTTTGTTGAATCTATGGTCCAACACTGACTTTGCACCTTGCCACACACAATTATACAAGATGCTGTAGACATCAGTATATGAGTGAGACTGAGCTTGGATGGTGGTTGGATATTTAGGTGTTTGGCTCAACTACACATCTCTTATACACACATTATCCACCATGGGGTTTCTGTGTTAAAGTGATATTAACATGTAGAACTTCCAACACTATCTCCTCTCACCATTTTACTGGGATTTAAGAACTGACTTCACAAGAATAAAGCAGGCCATGTGATGGGTTGTCTGTTGGGTACTACCTGCTTCAAATAAGATTCATGACAAACCCCATACAAGAGGCCAGCCAATATGCTAGGTAATAACATGCTTGGTGGTACTTATCTGTCTCCATTAAAGACACAGGTCATATCCCACAATGTCAAAGCCATTAAATCAAAAAATATAGCATGATCACCGGCTGAAGCTGGTTACTGTTACAGCTAAAAAGCAGCTCTGATGGAGCAAAGGAAGGACATTCAAATAGTTGATCTTATACAGTCAAAATCAGAAGACAAACTAAAACACTATGACAGGCCTTAATAAGAAAATGTTTAATTATTTGAGTTATGACTGATTTGCATATTCTGGTCTGCTGCTAATGCTTTTTCACTGCAGCCTTTATCAGTTTAAATGCTACAGTAGATCAATTCTTCTGCTTTCAGTTTATGAAATTAATATGGATTGCTATCAATTTGTACTACAATTTAGACTTGGCGTCTTGATATGGAACAGTCATGATGTAACTGTGGTGTACCTTTTGCCATTTTAAGTTAATCCTGCAGGAAAATGCTTATCTAACAAAAAATGGCACGATTGTGTTTAATTCTATCTAGTTTGTAGCTTTTGTGTGGATGTGTCAAAGGGAGCTCCTCTGCACATTTATCATGCAGATAAGATCAAAGCTTGGACAGTGAACCACTTGCTTGGAATTAATTTTTATTTTTCCCCACAGTGGAGGCAGCAGTGCTTCAGTTAAAATTCTGTAGCACTTCTGCATGTATATACTGACCCTCTGCAAGATTAAGGTCTTCTTCAGGACCTAAAGCCCCGGACTGAGCGTCACTGCTCGAGGTTCATGTCTCAACTCTGACCAATCTACCAGAGTGTCAGTGTCCTAATCAGCAAGGTTTAATACACCAAGGTTGGTGTAAAGATATTGCTTTATTTGAATTTCCCAGAGCCCAGGTTGACATATTCACATCTACTTGTCTGAGCAACAGTCACAAATAAAAACTATTCAGTTCTCAACAGACAAAGCAGCATTTTTTTTTAATCATAGATTGATTTAGCAACTAATCATTTCAGTTAAAATTTTTCATTACCAGTATCCTTATGACAATCATGTGGAACATAAAAGTAAATGTTATGGAAAATAGATTTACAGGCATGCTTTGTCTTTATTTTCAAAACATAAATAATGAGCACTTAAATAACAGGATTTAATCCACCAAAGAAACGCAAGAAAAGCTAAGAATTTTTTTTTTGCAATGCCAGTCTCTAATGGACACTGTTCCCAGCTGAAAAATACTGCTTCTGATGTTTGCCTTATGAGCTCTTTGTGCAAAAGTTTGGTTATTTGTGTTGGCTTGCAAGTATCTGGAACAGTTAGCAGAGCTGGATAATGTTTGAGTTTAGTTTTCTGACCATAGAAACCCCGGATGTCACTAAAACTGGCTAGAATACTGTGTAAATAGGTTGAGTCATCCAGATAGCCCATAGTTTCTGGCCTTTTACAGCTTGGTTTTAACTAATTAGTTTAGGCAGTTGATTAAAGGAGCTTCAGTCAACAGCTCTATTTTACAAAAACTCATGTTGGAAACAAAATTCAGATGATCAGTCATTTATCTTCATTAGAGAGAGGCTGAAAGGTACAGGTGCTGGGATATGTCACTCTTTCTTTTTCAGTTCTACCAGCAGCCTAACCATGTCAAACATGGTTCCTTGCAACAAAGACCATTAGAGAGAAAAGTTGATTCAAAGAGAAAAATGTATTATTTTCCATTCAGCATTCTTTACTGGCATCTCCATTCATTCATCTACTGAGTACCTCTAAAGAGGATATCAATAATGAATAAAGGGCTAGGATACTGTATGATACATATTCCTGCCTTTGTTGAGCAAGAAAGCTGTTGCCAATTAAAATGAGAATGCTCATCCTGCACTGATGACCATCAGCGGGTATCCAATTAGTTAACACCGCAGAACTCAGATCGACACATTTGTTAATAGTGATGAAGAGGCCCTGAGAGCCAACAACACGCAGCTCTCCTCTCTCTAGACTGTAGATTGTTGGCACAAAAATCAATATTCCAGCTTCATTCAATTAGATGGAGATCAGGTATCTCAGTGGCGCTACCTGCAGTGACTGATGTACTGCTGAGGATTTGGAGGGTGTTGGAGCCAGTGTTAAACTTGGAATGCGCACGTTAAGTGACTGTTTGGTATGGAATGCGCACGTTAAGTGACTGTTTGTTTGGTGTAAGATATGATACAATAAGTAGGAATACATAACTAGACAGCCAAACCTAATCCACACACTGATTCATGTAGAAGAAAAAACAACGTTTTGCGCATTTTTATATGCGCGCACACAAAATACAAGCATGCACATGCACGGTCAAACGCACACGTTTCAGTGCGCTATGCGTAAAGATAGCTCACTATACAGTGCTGTACAACGCAGCTTATCAGAGACGGGAAATGAATGTACTTGAGGTATTATTAACCGATTTTTGTTTTTACATTAAGATTTGAAATGTAACACTTGGCATCCGTCAGAAACAATCATACAATCATAGAGCAAACGGCTCAAGGAAGAAACGAGCGAGAAACTAGTTCTGTTTAATTAATTTGATCCGATAGTTTTAATTAGACGTCTAATAGAGCAAGTTGGGTTCGTTTCTTTGGTCCAACATTTTTTAAATTCAATTTGTAAAAAAGACAGGTGGTTACTTACCCAAAGTTATGAGATGAAACAGATAAAGTCCCCACAGATCCATCTCTGTGTGAAATGCGAAACCAGATAACTCGTCCGACCTACACTTACAGCTGTATAATTACACGGCAAGAAGAGGGTATCCAATTATGCATGTGTAGATCATTATTAGCACAAGGAGAATCTCTGAGAAAAACCCTTAAATCCCTAAGTCTTTTAGCTTGTTTACTGCCTTTGCTTTCCTTCTTAGAATCCCATCGGTTTGTTCCAACACGCTGTTGCAGTCGCGCTTTTGCACAAAGCCAGAGCCATGCGTAATAATGTGGGCGAAAGTTGTTCTGTGCGCTGTATGATCCAAGAGAGGAGAGACAAAAGACAGAGCCTTCTTTTGCGCGTTGAGGTGGTCGCGCAAATCCTTGAGTCCGCTGCTGGAGAGATGCTGAGTGCTGCCGGCAGGAACGACTGCCAGGAGGGAGGGAGGCGGTGAAAAGTGTTTGTGCAAGAAAGGACTTTAAACAGCCTGGTTACATGGTGACGACCAGTGCAGCGATAATAAAGTGTGACATATGGTTAATTTCACCAAAGGAAAAAAAAATCCTTGCTGTAATAATATTACTACATGGACTCTGTGTGTTTGTGTAGTAGTAGTAGTAGTAATAGTGGTAATGGTGGTGGTGGTGTATAATGATCTTAATCACCTAAATGATTCCTACTTTGTACTGAACTTGATTTCCATGGGGCTATTGAGATGAAGGATTGTCGTTTTATAATTTGTGTCATCTATTCACTCATCTTCTATCATCTGTTCAAGGTCCAACACTGGTTATTCAGTTTGCTTGTATAATAAAATGTAGGTTTTCTGGCAGTGAGTAAATGAAGAAGGCAAAAAGAGCTTCACAAGAAAAGCGAGTGGCTACTCTGCTGACAGAGGTCTTTCAGTTATCCCAGGACATTAAACAAAAGATTAACATCAATGCAAGAAATAGCAGAACTCACAGAAGAAGCAGATTTAGGACACTCTCAACCAGAAAGAGATTTCATTTTAGGTTTCCTGTGCACAAAGTTGGAGCATTTATAGTCCAGATTCATGAAGATAGTACATCTCTAATTCATTATACAATAAAATACTTTAGGTGGTGAACATAAAATTGGCCACTTTATTCTCAACAGCTGTTAATAATAAGACCATGATGTTAACAGGAGCTAAGACCAGAATGTCACAGGACAGCCTGTGGGTGGAAGTTTTCTAATACGTTGGATAAAAAGTGCATTGTTGTATTTACCAGAAACAGTTAAAGGGTTTTCTTTTGTTCCACATAAAACCAAAAAGAGCTGGCTCCAGTTCCTCGCCACTACAGAGGTCCAGAGCTGCAGAAGCTCAATTTTCTCAGCTGTTCACTGTTTTGAAACAGACAGTTATTGATTCTTTAGTGTTAAAAATTCAACTTCCACGCCATCTGTTCATTTTATGGTTCAGAACCCCTTGTTGTTCAAGCATCAGCAGGCCAGGATGTGCATTTAGAGTCTGTTGATTCATCCCTTTAGTACAGTATGTCTCCAAAACGGCAACAACAAATGGAGTTTCCAGATGATCCATGCAAACAAAGCTGGTGAGGAGCAGATAACAAAGGGTCACCATGTTGGATCAGCCATACTCAGTGTGTGTGCTTTATTCTGCGTGTGTGTGTCTGTGTGTGTAAGGCAACCTGGGGGTCCAAAAGGATGATCCAGCTGTGTAGTGAAGACACACTGAAGACCTGAGAAGAGCCATGTCGCCCTGCTGGTGTTATCTTTATGGCCATTCATGGCTGTTCTGCTACAGCCTTTCATGGAACTTACATGAGCTGGCAACATGAATTCAAGCGGTTTGCAAGTTCTTATTTATTTGTTTATTTATTTTGCTGAGGCCCAAGATTGGAAAGACTGTAACTGTAAAATGTCTTTACGCCTCAACGATTGTAATTGTAACTCCCTAACAAGCTTGCAATGAGAATATCTGGAACAATACATTACCATCTCTGCTGGGAGATGGAGTACTTAAATGTGGATAGATGTGCTCTGAAAATGCTGTATGAATCTTTAAAGAGGGAGTCGGTGCCATTGGGATCTTTTAGTAAAGTACATATTTGCAGTGTGCTTCTGCGTTTGTAATGCAAATAAACATTAAATTTTGCAAGAATTAAACAGCCCTGTCAACGGTTTAGGGAGAGCAGAGGGAATGTACTTTTCTTCTAAACCAGTGAACTCTTTGGCTCCCTAAGAGTGAATTGTGGGTGCACAGGGGTTTGTCTTTTTTTTTTAACTCTCAAATTAACAAACAGCTACTTTACATGATCTGAATTGCCTCAGCTGAGATTTCTCCAGCATCAGTCTGTTAACCCAACACTCTCTCATACAACATTTTTCTGTCTCAAGGTTAAGCTGCTGTCCATAGGTCCAGCATTTTGTCCTTCACTAACAATCTATCAATATGGAGAGTAGGTGCTGTTTAAACATGGGAGACAGACAGCTCTCACTTCTTCCTTCAGGCAAAGGGACATTGATTTCCTATCTTTGTGAGCCAGAGCAGCATGGACACAACATTAATGAGGGATTAGTCTTTGTAGCCATAATCATTGCTGTCAAAACACCAGAACTGGCTGATGAAGAAGGGCTTTGTAAATATTTGTTGGAACAGCTTTAACAGTTTAACAGCTACGCTCACTGACAAATGCAGGCTTCCAACTCCAGTATGAAAACATAGTGACATCGTTTCCCTTTCTTTGTAAGTTGCGTGTCCCGTTTGATGCATACCTAATTTTTTTGTTTTGTTGTGCTTTGTTTTTAAAGTTCCACACCACTGGCGCATCCACCCAGATGTAGATCTCATTCAAGTTGAAGCAGGGTTATGATTTATTTGAGGTCACCAAATACTAATAACACTTTTTTTTTTTTAATTGGACATTTTGACTTGGTGCAGTAGGAAAAGCACAGGTGCAACGTGAACAATGGTTCAGCTCAGTAAGCCTTGACAGTGATCTCGCATGCACAATGGCAGAACTCACAACACACAAGGAATTTAGCTGTCATTACTGTTATTAATTAAACAAAAGGTCTATAAATGCCTCGTCACAGGATTTGAAATGGTGCAACTTTGTTTCAAAATTAGTTCAGTAGAATTAGTACAATCAAATGATTTGAGACGATGAAGTAATTATGTGCAATTCGTTTGTGTCAAATTCAACTTGTCTCACCCCAACATTTGTACTAAACAGGAGAATCAGGGAGGTGTCAATCAAACAGTCTGCACACCTACAAGCCTACAGTACAAACCTGAGACAGGGCTAACGAGGTGAAAGTCTGTGTTAATTGTTTTGTCTTTTGTGCTTAGTGGTATAACTTGAGATATCAGAGCTCTGTTCTTTTAGAAGCCATTAACTGCCATTCATTCATCGTGCGGTACTGTATGGTAAACAACTTTCACAGACTTGAAAATATCCCTGGATGGATCATTTTTAACTGTATATAGAGTGCTTTCATTTTCAAGTTGTTACTACACTGCTCACATTGAGAAATGTTGTGTTAGGCTGTGAATTACAGTATGTTACACTCTAACGAGTCTGCCATCTGACATCCACAGGAGGAAATGGAGTTTAAAACAAGAATTATTTCCTGAAAAGCATGTCACTTTACACATTGATCCCTTACCCATGTCATTGTACTTGAAATGTCTTTGTTGGCCTGGACAGACAAACACAAATATCGACACAATTCTAATTTAGGGAAGAAAAGAGGTTAGAGGTGGAGACGAGGGTTCATGTTGCAGTGAGCAATAATGAGTCTGGTGACATGTGCTAAGTTGGTTCAAATCTTATTTATCAGAAAGATTTCAATTTGTTCATGTTAATGACGAATGTTCCACACAAACTGAAGTTAGTCACGGCGTTCCACAGGGCTCTGTGTTAGGTCCAATTCTCTTCACTTTATACATGCTCCCTTTAGGCAATATTATCAGGAAGCACAACATAAATTTCCATTGCTATGCAGATGATACTCAGTTATATTTATCTATGAAGCCAAATGAATCAAATCAGCTGGTCAAACTTCAAGCATGTCTTAAAGATATAAAGGCCTGGATGACCTGCAACTTCTTACTTCTAAACTCTGACAACACTGAAGTTATTGTGCTTGGGCCTGAAAACCTTAGAAATCTGCTGTCTAATCATATAGTTACTTTAGATGACATAGCTCTTGCCTCCAGTACTACTGTGAGGAACCTTGGAGTCATCTTTGATCAGAATATGTCCTTTAAATCACACATAAACCAAGTCTCTAGATCTGCCTTCTTTCACCGGCGCAATATTGCAAAAATCAGGACCATCCTGTCTCAAAGTGATGCTGAAAAACTGGTCCATGCATTTGTTACTTCCAGGCTGGACTACTGTAACTCTTTACTATCAGGATGTCCCAATAATTCCCTAAAAAGCCTCCAGTTAATCCAAAATGCTGCAGCCAGAGTACTGACAGGAACTAGCAAGAGAGATCATATCTCTCCCATATTAGCTTCTCTCCACTGGCTCCCTGTAAAATTCAGAATAGAATTTAAAATCCTTCTCCTAACATACAAAGCCCTTAATGACAAGGCTCCATCGTATCTTAAAGACCTCGTAGAGCCTTATCATCCTAACAGAGCACTTCACTCTCAGAGTGCAGGTTTACTTGTGGTTCCTAGAGTCCACAGAAGCAGAATGGGAGGCAGAGCCTTTAGCTTTCAAGCTCCTCTCCTATGGAACCAACTCCCAGTCTCAGTTCAGGAGGCGGACACCCTCTCTACCTTTAAGATTAGACTTGAGACGTTCCTTTTTGATAAAGCTTATAGTTAGGGCTGGATCAGGTGACCCTGAGCCTTCCCTTAGTTATGCTGCTATAGCCCTAGGCTGCTGGGGGGCCCCATGATGCTCTGAGTTTCTTTCCCCTCCCCTCCTGCTCTGCTCTCCTCTCCTCTCCTCTCCTCCCCTCCCCTCCCCTCTCTCTCCCTATGCTTCTATATGCCACCATTACACATTACTAACTGTGTGTCTCCTCTCTCCCGTAATGTGTCCTCTCTCTCTCCCTGTACCTTTCTGCAGGTTGCCCTGGCCCTGGAGCTCTACGTCTCTGATGAGCAGTCACCAGCCACATCGACCTGATCAGTGTTTGATTGTTGTGTCTTGTTGCTTTTCTTCTTTTGTCTCTCCTCTATCCACTCACCCCAACCGGTCGAGGCAGAAGGCCGCCCACCAAGAGCCGGGGTCTGCCGGAGGTTTCTTCCGTTAAAGGGAGGTTTTCCTCCCCACTGTCGCCAAGTGCTTGCTCAAGGGGGATTTGTTGGGTTTTCCCTATGTTATAATATTGATAACAGTAAGGGCTAGACCTTACTTTGTAAAGTGTCCTGAGATGACTTTTGTTGTGATTTGGCACTATACAAATAAAAT